ACTCCTGTTTTTGTCCGGGGGGCGACCATCCCGCCGGGCCGGTCGTGTCGCGCAGAACGCGCCTGGCTTCTGTTCGGGGGGCCAGACGGGCAGCTGGCATGCAAACGTGTTACTCCACTGCGGTCGGCGTCACGTGGCTCCCTGCCGGCGCTCCGGACAAGCCGCAGCGGCGAGGGGAGAGCGCCCGAGGCCTAGGGGCTGTCCCGAGGCACCCGCCCGGGGCGTGGCAGCTGGAGCTAACCCTTTGGACATGGGGGGGGGGCTTTAATTGCCCCCTCCCAGAGGGACTCCTCTTGGCTTGTCTCATCTGCGGCTCTGTGGAGACAGAGCCGGGGGCTGCAGGCCCAAGAGGGCTTGTTCGGGGAACCCGCCGCCCGCTGCCTGGTTCAGGCTGCAGCTGGGCTTGGCACCTTAGGAGACACCCCTTTGTCTGCCCTCGGGGGGTGCACATCCCCGCTGTGCTGGGCGTGCAGCGGAAACGGGCCCGGGCCCTGCCCGGCTGAGTCGCCGCCTCGTTTGAGAAGCGATCCGACCTGCGGGAGCTTAGGGCCAGGCAGGCAGGGAGCCTGGAAGGAGCTGGTTTGCAGTGGGGGTGGCAGGAGACTGCTCATGGCCGCGACGGGGTCTCCTGGGTGTGACGGGCAGGCAGCTGTGGGGTGCACGGGGCTCTCGTGGCGAGGAATGACGGGGGAGACAATCCGGAGGGGGCCCATACCGCGACGGGGTCTCCTGGGTGTGACGGGCAGGCAGCTGTGGGGTGCACGGGGCTCTCGTGGCGAGGAATGACGGGGGAGACAATCCGGAGGGGTCTCATAGTCGTAAGGCGAATCTGACCCGGCCGATGAGACATCCGCAGCCTCTCGCGGGACCCGGTTCTGAGCTCCTGCCATGCCTGCTGGCTTTGTCACAGCTTTGGCACTGCCCATGTGACAACATCCCGATTGGGTGAGGGACAACGTTCCCTACAATTTTTTCCCATCCATGTGTGGAATGAATTTTGTTCTGTGCACCGATGCACGTGTTGATGTGCACCACCCTAGAAACATGCTGGGGGCGCTCTGCCCATCAGTCAGGTGGCATTTGAATCTCTCCTGGGTGGCCACCCAAGTGGGGAGGGGGGATTTAATTAATTGGTGGGACGGGGAAGCAGTGGGTTTCTCAGGCCGGCTGTCGGGGCCGTACCGAGGTTAGGGCTGATGAGCAGGCCCTGGCTGTGAACGGCCCCGATCCTGAGCTGCAGTCAGAGGGCATGAGCATGTCGATCTCCCCCCTTCCTCTCCTTTCGCCCCCAGAGCCCAGGAGCTACGTGGAGTCGGTGGCCCGCAAGGCCGTGACGGGAGCCGGGGGGGTGTCCCCGAGCCCCCCCTCTCCGTCGATCTACAGCCCTGAGACGCCGGTGAAGAACGGGGTCTTCAGCAATGCCTTCACCGCCCCCAGCCCCATCTCCACCAGCAGCCCCATTCACAGCATGGACGGGTAAGGAGAGCCGGGTGCTGGGGGCAGCCGGGAGCAGGCACCGTGGCACTGGGCGTGCTTCGGCCTGCAGCCCTTCCTTACCCGAGCACGCGCGTCCTGAGTGGCTAAGCGCCCGGCGGTCAGTTCGCAGCTGTGCACCCTCATGCGTCAGGGCATCAGCTGCCCTCCAGGGGTCAGGAAGGTTCCTCCACACCCAGCTCCAGCTCCAGCATGGTCTCTGCACCTGGCTCACAGCTACCATGTGAGCCAAGTCAGGTGCAGAGACGGACATTGGCCGTGGTTGGACTAGACGGGTCTGGTGCCAGCGGTGGGATAAGACACACCCTGACCCCAGGGGAAGAACCGCGGGTGGCGATTCTCAAAGCCTTCTGGTGTCCGCTGGGCCTGGCTTTTCCAAAGGGATTTAAAGGCATTCGGCGCCCGGCCCCCAGCCAATTCCAGTGGGTCCTTTGGCAGTCCCGCCCGACGTGGGGCGCGAGGGCTGGGATGTAGGACGGCCGGGGGTGGGGTTGTGCCCAGGGCGGCGTGGGGGTGTGCGGAGGTGAGGGAAGGAGTGGGTGGACGCGGGAGAGGGTTGTGAGTGCGTGAGGTGTGCATGTGTGTAGGGTTGTGGGGGGAGGGGGCGTGTGCGCATGCAGGAAGGGTTGCGTGTACTTGAGAGTGTGTGTGTACACATGTAATGTATGCATGTGCATCCATGTAGAGTTGTGTACGCGCGCACACATGTAGGGTTGTGTGTGTGTATGTGTGTGGGCGCACACATGTAGGGTTGTGTGTGTGCGTGCGTGTACACACATGTAGGGTTGTGTGTGTGTACGTGTGTGTGCATGCACATGTAGGGTTGTGTGTGTGTGCGTGCGCGTGTACACATGTAGGGTTCTGTGTGTGTATGTGTGTGTGTGTGTGCACATGTAGAATTGTGTGTGTGTATGTGTGTGCATGCACGTGTAGGGTTGTGTGTGTCTGTGTGTCTGTGTGTGTGTGTGTGTGTGCGTGCGCGCGCTCACATATATGGTTGTGCGTGTGAGGCTCTGTGCACCCTTCTGTGTGCAGGGGGCGAGCGGGAGATGGTGTGCCCGGGTGCAGCATGGGGAGCTGGGATTGTCTCTTGGCTCCCCAGGAGCTGTGGGAATGGGCGCTGCGGGGGCCACCCCACACCTGGCCCTCGCTCGCCCCTTCCCTTCGTCTCCAAGGGGGTGGGCAGGTCCCCAGGGAGGCCTCGGCGCCCACAATTCCCCGTCCTGAGAAGGGGGCAGCACAGGGAGGGTGATCTTGGGGCTGACACCCCCAAGTGGGACGCGGAAGGTCTGGTTTTGAAGCCAGGCTCTGCCACCGGTTTCCTGGGTGACCTCGGGCAGGTCACTTACACTCAGCGCCTCACCGATTTCGAGGCACGGACTGCCCCCCGAAACAGAGGGGCCTTGGAGGTCTCCGTCTGACTGGCCCGGCGCCTCAGATCTGAGCTGAGCTGCTCTCTTGCCTCTCCCAGGGTGTCGCTCCGCAGCTACCCGTCCGAGAGCAGCGGCCCCAGCGCCGTCACGCCCCCGCGGCCCTCGGCCGATTCCAGCTTCCTGTCGGCGCAGAGCAGCTACCAAAACGCCTCGCCCCCGTCCTTCCTCGGCTCCGTCCACACGG